GGGGCTCTATGTGTGTGTCCTTTCCGGTCCATGGGAGGCATCATTTACATGCCAAAGGAGGACTATGCCAATGTTGTGTGCTAAGCAACCGCAAGGCCTGTGAACACACTCGAGTTCTTGGACAACAGGAGAGCTCGATCAATTTAGACACGGAGTTGGCAAGGTGTAGTAGCATGCTTACGCCAAACCGACATGCAAAGCCTCCCCTTCATGTGCTATGTGCAATACCGGTCCATGCACTATCTCCATGAGCAATTGTGTGCCCATGAGGAACCCTACTAACCATTGTAGCCATTAACCAAGGCCACCCCGCAAGGGATGTTACTCTTGGTAGAATGAAGGGTAGGCACCCAAAGAGGTTGACCACCCCTCCTCAAAGAGAATGTTAAGCTTTTGGAGGTCTGCCTAAAGGTAATGTCAGTTTTCCAAAAAATCATACTAGTAGAATTTATGACAATGCCACTTAACACAACCCACCAAGTGTAGGTAAACTAAGCTTGTGTCAGAACATGACAGCCTCCCCCATTCAATCTGTTGTAGTCTTCGACAAAAAGCTCCTTTGTGAATGGGCATCTACGTCCCATGCCATCCACATGTGCTCCAAATAAGCGGCACGTTGCTACAGACAGGGCCGCCTGTTCAACTTGGGTCTCACCTATGTCTGGGACAGAACCATTTCACCATGTTGGCCTACTTGGACTTCACTTTCTGTTTCGGGGAACCACACAATGGCCCTCGAAGATGTTATGTGGGTGTTGCTTTACAGAGGTCCGCCCCGTGTTCTCTTTACCTCAAGGCTCGACCCACTCCTTGGTAACTTTTCAGTTGTGCTACCAAACATGTTGTGATGGTCTTCATGTACCGTTGGTGTCATCTCTTTGGAAACTGCTTCACCATTGTTGGCCTGCATACTTCATCCTCTCGTGTTGGGGTTACTCAAACGATGTAATGCCTTATGCTCTATTGGCCCTTGAAACTACACTTTGTCTCTCCATTTGGGCTACCTCTTCACTCCAACGGGTCCCACCCTATTCTGCCTCAACTTTTACCGAACATGCACAAGCTGATGTAATGTATTGATGATGTGATTGTTACGAATGTTCCACCTTGTGCGCCAAGCATGTCCTCTAAAGCATGTGTCACTTGCTTATGCCACCATGCTCCAATGGAAAGTGTACCCACATTCCTAACATTCCGATATTGTGGCTTTAACCTGGGACCATTTTTGGTACAAATGTTCCCACCTTAGTTATATTCCTCAACCAACCATCAAACATACCAATTTCAGACTATGGTCTCAACCTTAGAAGTGACTTTGACAAGCTATAGAACAACGGCCCATCCTGTTCACAAGCCAAGACATAAATGCACCATTCACACCCCACAACAATGAACGTCTCTATCCATGAAGGAGCCATACACTCCCCCACTCAAATACACTCTTCACCATAGAAAATTGAGCAAACAATTTACATCATTCACAACGAGGGAGATCTACAAATCACAAACAACCAAACACATGAATATTGGATAAGTCTGGTGGACAACCAAACAATTTCTGACAAGGGGACACATTAGCAAGAAACAAGAATGTAGTAGATCAAAAATATAGTCATACTAGCTACCTCCACCAAAAAAGAAGATAGTGCATGTGGATCTTGTAGGCAAAACTAAGAATATGTCCATTCTTACGTTCGGCCACACTATTCTTCTAAGGAGTATTTCAACAGCTTCATTGAACTTCTAACTCATCCATTCTCAAGTAAGATAAGAAATCTCCATCAGTGTACTCTCCCCTTAAATCAAAACGGAGGATACATACAAATAGACTAAAACCAAACTCGTACCACAGCATGAAATATACAAAATGTTGCGAAGACTTTTGATTGTGTTAGAGAAAATCAATCCATGTGTACTTGGTGGAGTCATCAGTGAATAATACAAAATACGCGTATCCCAACAAAAATAAAAGTAAAAGATGGAGCCCAAGCATCACACAATATAATTTCAAACGGAGAAGTAGCATGCTTAGATTTGTGAAGAAAAGCAAAAGTATGACTCTTAAACAACAAAAAACACATGAAGTATCTAAAGCTTGCAAAGAGGGAATTTCACTTCTTATAAAGCTATAGTCAAATGTTTATTCAACTATGAGAAGCCAATTATACTTTACTATGACAACCAACAGCTATCAATATTGCACATAATACTGTTCAACATGATAGAACTAAGCACATTGAGGTTGATAGACATTTTATACGGGAAAGAGTTTCCTCATGAGAAGTTTGTTTGCCATTCATCACCTCAGAAGAACAATTGGCTGATATTTTCCAAAGGAGTTCCAAGAGGGAAGCTAACACACTATATAAGCAAGCTGGGCATTATTGACATCTATGCTCAGCTTGAAGGGGAGTGTAAAGAGACTGGGCCGAATGGGCCCTAGTATCTTTTCTTGTAGTATGTTTTTTATTTATCTGTTAGCTAACGGCTAATGGACCTGTTATTTCTTTTTGCTAGTTCTCTTTATGTTACTGCCTAGTTGGCCACCCACTTAAGGGTATACTTGTAATTATGCTAAGATTGAAGTTTGGTAAAAGGATTAGAGAAGGGAGGGAAGAGATATTCGAACTCTTCTTCTTCCTCCTCTTCTTTTCTCCATCTTCTTTCTTTGATGCTGCTGTTCTCTTCTTTTCTTCCTCTTTTCTCTCTAATTTTTCCAAGTTTACATCAGTTTTAGAGGACTGATTTACATCTAAGGTGTACCCACTCTACTCCATCCACCTCATTGAGACCCAAAAACATCATTCCTTCCTCCATGCCCTCCCCCTCTCTCTACAGCTGCAGTAGACCTGTCAAAGTTAGTAATCTCCTTAGATCCAATGGTAACTCTATGTGGTCGAGTAATCACTTCCTCAAGAGATGGGAGGCTAAACTTACCAATATCTAAAGTACGAAAAGATTCATACTCTTGCCTCACACCTAAAGAACCTTGTCACATCTTTTTTTTTTTTTTGATAAGAGGAACCTTGTCACATCAAAGGTGTTCCTATTGTTGTGCCTCAAACCTCAATGCCCGATACACATAAAGATCATTTCTATGATTCCAAATGCCAATATAATAATCTTCAAGAATTTGATTGCACTGTTGTATGTTGAAATATTGGAGGAGCTAATACACTCTTGTAGTGTTTCCCTAGCCTAAATACAACTTCTTAGCATGTTCCCATACCTCCTTTGCAACATCCAAGAACTTAAGTTTACCTTTGGCTTCTCCTATTCCCACGCATTACCAAGTTATGATTTGAGCATTCTCCTACTCCCACTCATTATACCCTACTGATCTAGACAAGGTTTGCATCTTTGAAGTACTTGAGTTTACCTTTGGCTTTCAAAAATACTTCCACTGATTTTTCCTAAGGCACATAAATCATCCCATTCAGTTTAATGGATGTCATCTTCCATGATGCTTGTCTTCAACACCCCACACAACTTGTAATCTTGAGGCAAGAGAAAACAACAAAAAATAACTACCACACCTCTTTTGAACTGTAAACAGTACTGTTATATTTGAAATATTCCACCTGAACCACAACCTATTGTGGTTGTCTCCTCCACCAACCGTCTGGACCTATCCAACTCACACAACATATGATATAATCAGAAAAATAAGTCATCAACCTACTGCAACACACTCCAACAAGCGCAGCTCCTTATTCCTCTTGGGAACAGAAGATGCTTCCCAACAGAATGTTTCCTTAACCGGAAAAAGGAACAGAAGGTTGAGTTAAACCTTTGAAATAGGATGCACAAGAAAAGACCCCAGAGGCTGACAGTGTCTAAACCCTACTATCGGATTTAGTGGGATCTAAGAAAACCCCTTCAAGAATGTTTAGGAGAGAACAGGCACTATTCAGTTAAACCATTGAAATAGGATGCACAAGAAAAGACCCCAGAGGTTGAAAGAGCCCAAGCCCTACCATCAGACTTAGTGGGATCTAAGAAAACCCATTCAAGAATGTTTAGGAGAGAACAGGCACTATTCAGTTCTTAATCCCTAACAGCTCTTCTCAGTCTCAAATTCCACCCGAATCCTGAATTTGCTTGTGAAGGTACCAGAAAGTTCAAAATAGGCTCATTTTTCAAATTCGACAAAGCAAACGAGGATGGGAATTGATCCTTAAGGGCAAAATGCCCAAACCAGACTTGTTCCCAAAATTTAAAGAGGTTACCAGAATGCAATTCATACCAGATCCAGGGCAGAAAAAGAAGCAGACAAGCATGGATAGCTTTCCATGGAGAAGCTCTTGTAATCCTAGCCGATATTCCAGCATCCCATCCATTACCTTCAAGCCCACAAATACTTGTCACAATCTTTGCCCATTTCTCTTTCACTAAGGGAAACCTCCAGATCCACTTTCCCAATAGCACCACATTTCTCTTCTGAGTATTCCCAAGGCCTAGACCTCCACACTCCTTGCTCCTGCTAACCAATTCACACCTAACCTTAAGGTCCTTATGGTGACAGCTAACTTAAGAAAAAAAAAAAAAGAAGAATGCAACCACCTTACCCAGTGTGTTTCTAAAACAAATAATCAAAAGATACTAGGAGAGAGATGAAGGAGATTGCAGCCTTCCCAAAACCAGACCACAGCCTTCCAGGTGTTCTTATACCATGTGATCACACCAAGAAACTAGCAGGAAACAGTATGGAAAAATAAGAGAAAAAGAGAGTATAGAAAGAAGAGAAAGAACCAAGGCCAATTGGGAGCAATTGATCCTCCTGTCCCAGTCAGCTGGTACACATAACAAAGTCTGTCCCATAAATATTAAAAAAAAAAAAAGACCATCTGTAATGATAGAAATATCCTTAATAAGTTGGACCATAACATAATAGAAGTACCAGAAAGTTGATACTATTTATTACCAATGAAGGCAAACTAGAACTATTACACAAACAACAATAGAGATTTTTCATAATAAGCATCTGGTTGTAAACTAACCTTTCCTCCACCAGCAAGGATCTCAAGAATAAGAGTCTCTTTAAGTTTTTCATGGACTTCAACACAAGCCTGGAAATCAAAACAAACGAGTTTTTTCATTAGTCTTATCAATCTAACAAATAAATTAAGTACCCACAAAAATCTTTAAACTAAAATTCCTCTTCTTCAGAGTCCTAGAGGAAACAGAAAAAAAAAATGTATTCAAGTGCTACACCTTCCCATATATTAATAGCTTTGTTTCTAGCAACACCCCATTGATGACAAGGTCAGCCGTTCTTGGATTAGCAGTTTGAGATTCACCAAGTTCAAAAGCACCATCATTTGATTCACCTAGTACATCGACAGAAGGAGGAGCCTACATGCAACATGAGAAAACATAATAATCAATTCATAACAAGGTTCGGTACAAAGCATACAAAAATCCAAGTCAAGGATGATATGTAGTACAGAAGCTCTATAAGTGGCTTGTATTAGTCCCTTCAACCAAGTAGCCTTCTCCTCATCATCCCGGAGTTTTATGATCATAGTGTTTGAAGATTCAAGAGCCTGAAAAAAATGTTATTGAAGTATAACACAACATAAAAATCTAAAGGAGGTGCCAACTATTCTCTGCATCTACTTTACACAAAAAACAAGATCATATTCTATCAACTGAGAAGAATTCTTTCATGGAGATTAGATACATGAGGGGAGAATCATTATATGAATTTATGTAAATGGATTAACACAAATAAGAGAAATTTGTATATAAAAAAGAGGGAAACATACAGTAATCTTTCACTAACCACTTTGTTAAGCTTCCTCCCAAGTTACCATATGAATTTGCCATGTACAGGGGTATTTTAGTAAAAAATATTTATTTAAGCTCTTCTTCTCTTTTCACTGAACATCATATCTACATTAGTTACAGAACCATCATAACATGTGTCATGCAGTTAGAAAACTACTAAATTACTTTTAACATGCTTTATCCCTTGCAAATACATGGGCAATGAGCCAAAACAACCAAGAAAAGGGGAGAGACAGGAAGGGAGCTGCTTCAAAAAGAACCAACACTGCTTGGACTAATTTAAAGAAAAAGGCTATATATACGAACTACACTCTTTGAGGCACAAAAATATCCATAGAAAAGACCTACAAAGTCACAAATAGAGTCACCATGCCCTATAAGACCAGAAAACAAAACAATAGCATTCTCATGCCCACCCTAAAAGCATTAGCAACTCCAGAGAATCCTAAATTTCGATGGGAGCAGAATCAGAAACAATCTTGATAACTACATTACAAATTTTTATCCACATTAAGGTGCAAGGAAAAAACCATAGCAACTAGTATTTCACTTGAAATCATCATTGCTTACCTTCTGAATATCTATTCCCCTCGAACACACAGCAATGGAAAAAGGCGAACCACCAATACTTGATGGAGGAACTTCAGATACTTGTTGACCTGCCATACTGCAATATAACATAATCGAAAATTTATTATGCATCCAAAAAGAATCTTATGATAAAAAGAACAAAAGGTTTGATTTATTATTATTATTATTAGAAAAAAAGTTTGCTTGTCCATTTGTTACTTGCATTTGGAAATGGTTCTTCACTTCTTCAGTTCTCTATATTTGGGTGCAAATGGATCCTTTTACAAATGTGGATAGTCTGTTTTGCCCATCTACCTTTACATAGCCAAAGAAAAGAGAAAGAATAATGTGGTGGTCCATGAGGGCAACAACCATTTGAATTTTCTTTTTTTTTTTTTGAACTGTAAAGAAGATCTTATTAAATCAATGAGAAAATTTGTACATGTGGTTGAGATATTACAACCACCCAAATACGTAATATTACATTAGTGCCCAAAATAGCTGATGTCTATTAGCCCCCTGTTTTTCTAGTGAATCCACCACCCCATTTGCAGTTCTTCTGGCCCATAAGTAGGAAGTGTTTAACTCCCTAGATAAACAATCAATCCCGGTGAAGGCATGCCTGTAAAGCCAAGGGGCTTGGCATAGACCTTTTGCCCAAGTGATGACTAGCTTCCAGATTTTGAAGTCTGACTGCTTGGCTAGTCTTACGCCTTGCAGTAAAGCCATCAGTTCGACTTTTAGGGAGTCTCCCACTCCAATAGGTCCTGAATACACGGCCACTACCCTTTGGAGTCTCTGAATACCCCCCCCCCACTCTTAATAACTTCCGGCCCCGGGTTACCCATAACAACCATTTGTATAATTGAGAGGAAAGAGATTTAAGAATTTCTAGGGAGAAGGAAAGGAGGCATTTTTTTTTGATAAATAAATGAACTTTTTATTGATTTGGAAAAGTTAGCACATACAAGAAGCCCTTGGAGAGGCGCAAGCTGTGATCTCTCTACTAAAGAAGAAAAGAAAAGAAATAAGTTACAATTGTGCCCAATACAAAACTTCCCTCGCTGCAGGAGGTAATGACCACCCATTGTATTCTTAGGTCCATGTTTCTTGTCAGCACCTTAAACTTTTTAGTTTCATTCCTGAAGCACCAACTTACTGACTCTGGGTCTTGCAACCAGCTTATTACAACCTTTGAGTCACCTTCAACTATTAGCTGGTTCACCCCTAATTGAACTGCAAACTGTACACCTTGCAGGGCAGCAGATATTTCTGCTCTAGTAGTCTCCCACTCCTAACAGACCAGAGAAAATAAATATCACATTCCCAACTTCATTCCTCAACACCCCGCCTACTCCAGAAGGACCTGGGTTTCCTAGACTGCTTCAATCAAAATTCAACTTCGAGAAGCCTGCAGGAGGTAATGACCAGCTTGTTCTCACTTTAGTCTTGGAAGAGGAACAGCTTGCCACAGCTGCCCAATTCCTCCAAATGTCATTAAAGGAGAATTGGTGAAACAAGTCCAAAGATTTCAGCCAATGAATCACACCCTACCCAGGATGAAGTCCTTTAACTCTTGAGGGTTCCTTTCCTTTTCCAAGAAAGTTCTAGCATTCCTTTCTTCCCAGATTGTCCATATCAGCAGCTCTTGCACACCTCCACATGATTTTACCCCTTTTCTGTTGCCAAACAAAAGTGGTATCAAAAAGCGTTCTTAAATCTGGCTGGCAAGTTCCAACTGCTCCCAAACAAAGAGAGAAGCCAGTTCCATAATTCTGCAGTAAAGGAACAAGAAATTAACAAATGATAACAGTCCTCACTTTGAGATCTGCATAGGATACACCAGTTGGGGGAAATACAGAGAAAAGGTCTTCTCTTTGGTAGATTATCCAAGGTATTTACTTTCCCATAGAACATTCCCAATAGAATGCCAAGATCTTAGGGGGAACAGGTCTGCACCAAACTTCCTTAACAGGGAAGTCCTGCTGGGGGTTAGAACAGCAAAGGGATTTGAAAAAAGAAGCACAAGAGAAAGATCCTTCCGATCTAGGTGTCCAAATTCTTTTGTAAGGTTCAGAGGGGTTCAAACAGACTTGCTCAAGAAGGCAGAGTAAACTGACTAAGCACTCAATCTCCTCATCCCTTAAGCCTCTACAGAACCCAAAATCCCAAGTAGGAGCCCAAGGGGTTTCCAATGAGGAGCAAAACTTGGAAACAACCTCTTTTTTGTATCGAGAAACTGAGAACAGGGAAGGGAAAAGGGTTTTCAGGGGAACATATCCAACCCAAATGTCCTCCCAAAAGAGGACGGAATCACACATCATACCTGATAAGACTGAGAAACTGAGGAAGAATATTGTGCACTGCTTTCCAAGGGGTTGCTAAAGTTGCCTGCCTTGATACACCAGCATCCCATCTATTCCCTGAGCCACCATGTATGCTTCCTATCACCTCATGCCACAACCTGACTCTCTCTAACGGCCACCTCCACAACCACTTCCCCAGTAAGGCTGTATTTTTCTGAATTAAATTCCCTAGTCCCAATCCCCCTTCCTCTTTACTCCTACACACCACCTCCCACTTAATTAAATGGTCTTTTCTATTTTCCCCAGTTCCCAAAGAAAGTCTCTCATTAGTTTTTCCAGCTTCTTAGCTTCCCTAGTCGGGATCCTAAAGACAGAGAGATAGTAAGTTGCAAGGTTTGCAAGTGTAGCTCTTATTAAGGTGATTCTTCCCCCCAGAGATATGTAGTTCCTTTTCCATGAAGCCAATCTCTTCTCAAACTTCTCTACAACTGGGCACCAGAACCTACTCTCCCGAGGATTTGCTCCTCAAGGAAGCCCCAAGTAGGTCAAAGGCCAAATGGAGATAGAACACTCTTGGTTGTTCTTCAAGGAATGAAGCTACCAAGAATCTGAAAAGGATACTGGTTAATGAGAACTATGTAACCTATGTACATTTCAATCCCTCTCCCTTCCTCCCTTCCTATGTGTATATATATATTACAAGAAGGAAGTCTAGGAATTTTCTCCTCTTTTTGAATTTTTTATTTTTTTATTCCATGTCAGTTTTTAAACAACAAATGAGATGCTCTCCTTCCCCATAGAAAGATACCTAAAATCTCTCTCTCTCTCTCTCAACCACACATTCTTATCAATCTCCTCTCCTAAAATTTCTCCTAAACTACCTCCCCCACATTCTCCTAAATCATCACCAATTCCTATTTACCTCCTAACTTATTAACAATTTATATTTTTACAAAAATTATCACAAAATTATGATTTTCTGGAATATTCATATTATTAGTAATTATAGTATTTATTGTATTTTTATCAGTTATTTATTCTATTTTCCTTATCAATATATTTTCAATAATTGTGTATTTTCACTATAAATTTTCAATAATTATGGAGATTAAACTACTGTTATTTATTAAAAATTAGACTCTTAATTTAGCTAAAATTAGGAGTGTTCACAGGCTGGTTTAGTTCGGTCTTAAGCTGTTTAGCCAACCAAATCGACCTAGTGAGGTTGGGGACTTGGTCACCTAAAATATACAGACCATTAGTGAAAACCAATCAACTTGGATTGTATTGGTTTGGGTTGATTTTCGGTTTGGTCGATCGGTTCAAAAGATTTAAACTTAAAAGATTAAATTTAAAACTTAATTTTAAATTTTAAAAATTACATTGGAGTTATTAAAAATAAATAAAATATTTTAGACTAAGAAATATGGGAATTTCCCGACTTTCCGTATTAAAAAATTAAATTTAAAATATAAAACGTTAATAATATATATGTGGTTGGGTCATTCGATTTTGGTTGATTTACAAATGGCTAAAGCGAAACTGATCCAAAGCTGATCGGAAATACTAGAAAACTGACAAGTTCAAGTCGAGTTGGTCGGGTTGGTTGGTTTCATCAATTTGATGAAATAAATTATTGTTATTTTTGTATTGTAAAAAAATATTAAAAGTATTATATAAACTATAAATAATTATTAATCATTTAAAAAGTTAGAAATACAAAACAATTGTATACTATTATGTGTTTTATTGTTTAGCTTTCCCTTAACAAATCCCGTGCATCGCATGGATCCCCGCTAGTTACACTAAGAAAGAAAGAGAGAGAGGGAGAGAGAGAGAGAAGGAATCTTTCAATATGAAAGCATTAAACAGAACAGGTTGCATAAATTCATATTCATTGCTTTTGTAGGTCAAGTTAGTAGCTTCTTTAGATGCTTCCTTGAACATATTGGTAATGGAGGAGTGGAACACATTGTAAAGCAGGAATGTTTTCCTAAAATCTTAGGGTGTGAATCCTGTTTTTAGAGAGGCAAATATGCTAGATCAAAGGATTTTTCAGATTTCCTTTTCAGTGTTGCCTGTCAACCTACTATATTACTTGAATTTACTCCCGCACAATTCCTATTCTTTGTAATGTTGGGTCCATCTTCTATATGAAATATGCATACATATCTTTGATTTACTTCAATATAAGTTTTTTATTACACATTTGAGGGAGGGGGAATTGGCATGGGTTAGGAGATAGAAAAGGGGGATACCTTGAGCATCGTTGGTAATTCTGGGATGCCTCAGACTCCAAAACATAAAGATAGAATCCAGATAACACAAGATAACAAGGCTGCCACTCTGCCACATAATTACCAATTCCCTATATCACAAAATTAAAAAAATGAGACAAGAAAATCAATTTAGAGACAACCATAGAAAAAATGTCATACTAGAGCAAAGAACACACCCTCCAAACAAGAATTTTAGCCTCAGTTGAGAGATCTGCAGGATTCCAAGGCGCCAGACCCATTTGGAAAGTTTCACTCATAGTCTGATCAGTGTTGTCCACACTGCAACGGAATAAATTTAACAATTGCTGAACTCTGCAGTATCTAGCCGGTGAAAAGTGAATGCCAAGATTAGGCACTTGAATGGAAACACGTGTTGATGGATAACGTGGATGAGGGACTTTAATCTTCAAAGAACCAATGGTAGAGCAGTCAAAAAATTTTGAAATGGTCAAGGCCAACATCCGGTAAAGTATTTGAACTGAACATGGAATAAAATTAAAAAACACCCACCTGATCAATAATAACTGTCATCCCACACCTCTCAACCAGAGAATAGAAGCAATCAACATCCTCTAAGGTAGGTGATCTCAAAGGTTGACCATCAAAAATTGAAGAGACTCCAATAGAGTTCTTTTTGTCAGAAGAACAGTCCATAAAGAACGCAGCAATATCTTTTCCACTTATGTAAAAACGGGAATATAAGCTCTGCCTTTGTTCATCACACTGACCTTCCTGAAAAAATCTCATTACATTTCAATAAAACTCAATGCAATAGGAAGTACTTAGAACATTCGCCTGATGCAACTTACTTTGGTGTGCAATGTGAAATGACCAAAGTCCAAAAGAAATTGGCCATTACATTCGGAAGATGCACATGTTTGTATAGGAATTCTCACTTTTGGAGCATCAATATCAATGTCAAGCGCAAATCTGGGATATCAGAAAGTGTTGACAATTACAAATAGGAAAATGCACATCTTATAAAATCAAGAAAATTGAAAGTTAATATAACAGAAAATGTACCAACATATCCTAAAATGCAAATTAATATACATAAGTTAATTATATCAGTGCCTAGAACCATTTAAAATCCATTTTGCCAAATAACGAATAGTTATTTATCATGGCATATACACTACATAGGAAATCTGGATAATGCCACATACAATAAATGATGACGGAAATGGCAGTTTATAAACTCCTGCCACTCTTCAGATATGTTAGTACCAAGTAGCTATAGAGCAAGTTTTGGCTCAGTCCTCACTGTTTCTTTCATCTATGTCCAAATTGGTACCATAAGACAACAAGAGTAGTAGAGTTGTTGAAACCTAACAAGATGGCACTTCGCTAGAGAACCAAATTTTGGATTCAATGAGCCACCAACATTTGGTAATGTAACACAGGTTATCTAAAGATTTTTTTGATAATAAATAAAAAGTAATTTTATTAAGAAAAAGAAAAAGGTACATTAGAGGTGATAAGATATCACCAACTAAGAAAGACAAAGCACCCAAGAAAAGCACAATCTCCCGAAAACACAAGAAACAACAACTTTTAACTTTTAACCCACAACTTGCTTCTGAAGCATGCAACCCTCATCAAACAAAACAAAAAAGTCTAACCAGCAGTAAACAAAAACTCAAAACTATCACCAATCTGAGGTAGGGCTTTCAGCATTCAACGGATGCTGTAGCTCTATATCCCAATACTCTCCTCTAGTGTAATTTTCCCCTCCTAATACCAATAATCCCAACTTCTTACCAACTTGGAGTCCAGCTTCACCACCATTTCCACATCCACCTTTTGCTCAATTTTTCGAACTCTATCCAATTCTACTCCTTCCTCTTCATCTTCATCACCTTCTTCTGAAACATTCTCTTCCCCCAACAATGTCCCTTCTTTTGCCAAAACCTCTTCAGTGTAATCTGTGGAATTATCTCCTTTATCACCACAAACTAAGAAAAGGTTCAAAAGATTCTCAACAATAGTGTCTCTAAGTAAGCAAGTTTTGTCTTCAATTTTTCCCTACTATACACTCTCTTCAATTTTCTGCTTGGGCATGCACTTTTTATATTCTTTTTGATAATAGTTTATCTCTAGTTCTCATTGATGTAAGCTACCAAACTGAACAGCATTAAATTTTATTCTCTTCCTCTTAATTCTGTTGTTTTCATTTTTCTTCTCCATTGATTGTAAATCCATCCATCCATCCTATCACAAGTAATAAATCCTCCTCCTAAAAGATCATATTCGAATAACCCTTAGACATAATGACTGTATTCCTTGAATTTGTAGACAACCCTAGTTAACTTGTACACATAGGATGTATTTCTTGTTCCCTTAGCATGCCCTCTTTAATAAGGGCATTGATGTAAATGTACATATATTTTTTCATCACAACAAACTCAAAGGACAATACTCAACATTCACCTCAAAAAAGTACATATATTTCTTTATGAATTTTAAAAAAAAAAAAAGTATTTATTAGTTTTGTTTTCCGGTAAAATTGGTATGGACTCCTTTGTATTGAAAATAATATATTTAAATGTTGAACATGAAGTCATGAATACATGCTAAGTTGGTAATATTTTATGTTTTTAGCTTTTTATATGAAATATATACTCATTTGAATGATTTATAGTGTTAATAGCTAGTGTACATGCTTGCTAGTTAGCACACAAAACCAATAAAATAGCTTAGAAAAGCATAGGAAAAGTAAAAGCTCAAGAAAACTAGCATTTTAAAATTCCAACGCCTAGGTGCCTGGGCGCCCTGTGGTCGCCTAGGCTCGCCTAGGCGCCTTGAAAACTATGATGGACGGTCAATTTCAGGATTGCTAAAAGCATATGGAATCTTATCTCAACGATCTTTTCCTGGCACAAAACAACAAAATGGTGTGACTAAAAGGAACAATTGCCATCTCCTAGAAATGACCCCCACACTTCTTCAAGATTCTGGTGTTCCTACCTTCTGGGCTGATGTTGTAATTACTACGGTATATCTTATTAGTCATCTTCCTTCCGTTGCTTCCAATCTTTCTCCATTTCAATAGTTGCATCACCATCCTCTAGATTACTCAACACTACATGTTTTTTGTTGCGTTTGTTTCATTCATTTTCTTCCACATGAATGCACTACACTAAGTTGTCAGTTCAAGCTACCATGTGTGTTTCCCTAGGATATATAGTTTGCGATCTGTTGTTTGTAATCAGAGACTTTTAACTTTTAATGAAATTTTTCTTTGGGTAAAAGACTTAAACATACCCTGAGTTTTCATAAATTGACTTAAACATACCTTGAGTTTTTCAAATAGACTTAAGTCTTTTTAAGTCTATTTGAGGGTAAAAAAGTCTTTTACAATAACAAGGTAGATTTAAGTCTATTTGAAAAACTCAGGGCATGTTTAAGTCAATTTAGGAAAACTCAGGGTATATTCAAGTCTTTTACCCTTTTTTCTTTTTATTCTTCAAAAAAATGAGTTTTTTTCTATGATCCAACTCTCCATCGTGTCAGCATTTCTAAAACTGCAGTGTTTCTTGAACAAGTCTATTATTTTACAGGTGGCCAAGTGCTCTAATGATACTTCAGTTGCTCTTCGTGAGTTTGATGTTCCTAACTAAATTGTGGATAATATTGCTAGTTCAGTTGTTCTTCTCAACCTAGTTTGTAGTTTGGAGATACTAAATTTGTGATAGAATGAACCACACAAAGGTCAAGTGACCATTAAAGATTTCCAACCACATTGACGAGATTGCTAATGGAGGAGAGAAAGAGGTTAACAACACCAATAGTTTTAAAAATAACATGTACCTATGTAAACTTAAAACTACTAAAGTTAAAGAAGAGTTAAAAAGATGAAGAAGGGAAAAGCATTAGAACATGATGGTATTCCAATATGGTGTGGAAAGGTGTGGGACATATAAGGTTGCTATGGCCAACTAAGCTATTTAATAATATATTGAAAGAAAATAAAATGTCTGATGAATAGAGATAGAACACTATGGTGCCAATATCTAAGGCAAAAGGCAATATACAATGTTCTAACTAGAAGGGGTTTTGTTGCTTCACCTGCACTTCCTTCTAAATTCGATCTACCTATTGCTCACTGTAAGGTAAGTGCTCTTCCATTACTCATAGTATTTCAAATTATATTTCTTATGATCATCTATCCTCTACATACAAGTCTTCGCATGCTTCAATCTCATATGCTTTTGTTCCAAGGAATGTGACTAAAGCATAAGACAGCATAAATAGACAGTCCCCATACAAAAATAGATGGATGCTTTGTTCTTTTGATGAATAATGGAAGTTTTAATAATTCAGAAACTGCTTTAGAATTGTAATTTCATACATCCTATGGAGAGATGTGAACTGCAGCCTCTCCCAATAGATCTCAAGCGAGCTAGTAATAAATTACATAAATCACAGGCTCACAGCTGAGCCCAAAACAATTCTTCCCTATTTGCCCTTGTTTGCCTAACACATCAGCCATAGCATTTTCTGATCTCCCCACCCACCGCAAAGAAGCCAGCATATTTCTTGTCAGCCAATTAAATTTCTTAATTTCATTCTGTTAAAGAAAAATACACGGGACATTGTTTGTTTGCCCAAGGAAAAAAGATTATAGGCTGTGAATTGGTATTTACTATTGAAAGCAGACCTAATGGTATGTTGTGAGATATAAGGAGAGGTCGGTTACTAAAGGCTATACTCAAACCAATGGGATTGATTATTGGGAGGCCTCTCCCATAGCTATGATGAAATCCATTTGTGTTCTCCTATCACTTGCTTCGTTTTATTCTTGTCCTCTTTATCAGTTAGATGTTAAAAATATGTTTCTTAGTGGAGATTTTCATGAAGTGGTGTGCATGGATATTTGATATTTCACTTGGCTTTTACAGTGACTTGCCTCGGAGGAGTGTTTATAAGGTCAAAAGGTCATTATTAAACAGGAAAAGAAAATAATGATACCATAAGAGACCAATCAACCCCCCCCCTGGGTGAATTTGGATGAATACCACCTGATTGGTTACCACTTTTATGATATGGATTGATTGGTTACAAGTTTTTCCGGTATCACAGTCGAACCCAATTAATATGAGAACTAAATAAAGAAAAAGAAATGAAAGAGAAAATGCAACAAATAAATCTAGGAGATAACCTGCTTTGTTCTTCCAACACCATTTGAAACTGCTCCTGAGCTCTACGGGTCACTTCTTCTATCTTCATCTGTTCATTGAAAGATCATGTCAACAAAATACTCAAAATAAAGTATCATTTAAAACAATAACACTAATAATAATGACTTGAAGCATACTAGCATTTTACCTGTAAAGCTGTTGCAGTCTCCAACGCAACAGTAGGACTGATTGCACTACTTCTCTTAATAAACTCTAAAAAGCGATTGCAACTTTCCATCAAAACCTATATACAGCATAAGATGAAGAAAACAATGATGACAAGCAGCCAGAAAGGTTATTGTAGAAAAAAATCACAGTGACCTAAAGAAAATTAAGAATAGGAAGTTAACAATAACATAAGGTTCCCTTGGACTATAGCCAAAGAACATGAATGATCTCCTTCCCAGACAAGGGACAAAAATAGACTTATGGGCACAACGCATAAGAAAATCTGTACAAACACCATCATACCCTATGTACATAAACATGAAAATAAATACGAAGACATGCATCCAACTCATCAAGAACAATCAGAAGAAAATTAAACTCAGACAAGCTAAATTCCATCTAAATTCCCTGCTGTGTAGTCCCATTAATCCAAAATAAAAGGTAGTATTTTAAAATAACACTATAATATAATATGTATTTTCTAGAGCAATTTCATATCAAATTAGCAAATAAAGAAGGCTATAATGTTATATAATAAAAACTTACGATAGAGTGTAAGGAAAAGAGAAAAGGAACAAGAGGTGATCTGCTGTTTTATTTAACGAGAAAGAGAATTGTTATAGAATAAAAAAAGAAGGAACCCTTTTTTATCCTTTCTTTCTTTGTTTTCTCTTATCAAAGCACTTAGATATTTTAAATTTCAAAAGTAAAAGTTTAAAACAAGGCATCAGCTAGAAGTATAATATGTACTAGAATGCATCAACATACAAACTAATAAGACACAGCTATAGTAATTAAGGTTATAAAAGGCAACTGCGTTATGAGTTTCATCTTGTAAAAGGGTGTTCTATTGCCTAAGTGGGTACATAGTCACCTAGACAGGAGCCTTTTTTTAATTAAGTCAAGGCATTTAGGCTAGGTGCCCAACCAACTAAGCATGAACAAGAAAGCTTACACCTTCTTGTTTTCCATTCTTTGTAGTTTAAAACACATCTTTTATTAGTACCGAAAACTAATGAAGGAAATTTAGCATAATTTGATGATCACCGTAACATGGCAGGGAGCAATTGTTGCTGAAAGTTGCCAGTCTACATTCTCTCCAACTGGTGAGTACACAAAACTGGCAGCCAAAGCATTCACCTTGTGTTCACTACTGACACTCTGCAATTAAAACCTTTCAAGACTTGCAATATCATTGAATAAATGCAGTAACTGGAACAAAAATAAAGCAAGCAGCAAGCAAACCTGTAAAAGTGAACCTTCAGGAGCAGACAAACCATAAAATCTCAATGATACATCACAATGGGTGCTCCTCTGGTAAAGCTTGGTGGTGATATTAAGTTGCTCAAACCTACCACAGACAATCTCTGTCTGATCGATACTGATGATCCGAGTGGCAGCTTGACCAATTGAGACATTTACCAAGAACTGTAACATATTACTTGTATCCTTTCCTGTAACAGAAGGTAAATCCTCATCAGGTTGGTAACTAAGTAAATTATTTATTGTTTGCCATTCCTCTTTGGTCAGTCTCTCTTCCATCAGCTTTGGCACTTCTGAACTACTCCCAGAAGAGATATCACTAGAAGAAGTACACCTGAAATGAGAAGCAACAAAAATAACTTCTTAATATAACTAGATGAAGAGCACTATCAATGTTCTCACTGATATATGGAAGATGTAAAATTTTCAAATGAACAAAAACAATGAACTAAATGTCCTACAAACCATCCAAAGGAAAACCAACTTCTATTTGATTGACTCCTCTGATTATTTGCTTCTTTTGATTTTACAGATTCAACTTTAGCATGTGCAAGCAACCTGAAGAAAAACACTATCTCATGAAGCTGAATATTGAATTAATGACAAATTGAAGAATCTGCACTAACACTTGATGGAGCAAAAGCTCATCTAATAACGTATAATTTAGAATTCTAACAATTACAGCAACAAAGTACAATTAAGTTTATACCTCCACAAAAGAATTACTTTAGAATCAAGATCTTTTTCAATTTTTCTGGTTTCAGAGCAATCATAATTTGACAACTGTTGCAGTGAACCAGCATATAGTTGAATATAATGGCGACGAAGCCGACAAAGATGTTGGATTCTGTCCCATGAGAAACGGTAACTGAAATAGGTAATAGAATATTTAGTAGATTGATATGCAGAAGTTCATTTATATCCTAAATCATTCTTAACAACCAAAGAAACATAAAGAATACAAGAAACAAAACTAGTTAGAGGATCTAATAATCCATCAGAAAAAGATTTTCTCCACAAGGATGATCAAGCACATTGTTTTCTGAACTTATTGAATGCCTTACTAGTCTCATTTCATAGGAAATGTGAACGCCATACATCACCAACAGAAGCCACGATGCCAATGCATCACCTGGTTACTATGGCAGCTTGAATTGGAATCCAATAACCAGTTCTTTATTAATAAGTAATGATGAAGAACTTATTTATCAAAATAACAAAATAGAACCAAAAATGGAACCTGAATGCCAATATGGACAAAAGAAGCAACATTGCCTCAAAATGCATCACAAGGCAACAGAAAAACAATTGTTGTATGTTCTCATAGAATATCCAACCCCAGTACAACAAGAAAGCTATTTGCCAGTGAATTGGCATGCCTATTGCCCCCTACATTCTAGACCCGTTGTGCAAAATGTGAAAAAGATCATAGGTTTGAGTTATTTATCAGTTATTTTGGCTCAAATAAAAGCAGAAAAGATAACTACATCAAATCAGTAAACTAAAGGATATTTTGCATGTCTCCGTTTTAAGTTTTGGTTTAACAGTGGGTAAAGCCCACTAATGAGAGCATAGGAATATGAGTTACAAATCAGGAGTGATAAAGTTTGTTTTAATAGTGAGTGGGACCCACTAATCAGGTCATGAAAAAGGGGATGTGAAAATTTTCTTTAATATTGGGTTGGCCAAACAAACCAGGAGGATTCAAACTTGTCCTAACAGTAGGTCCCAATAATGAGATCATTGAATTCTGTTTTTGACAGTGGATGGACCCACCAAATCAGCATGACTAAAAGCCATTGTGACAGTGGTATGGCCCACTAATAAGAGAATAAGAATTTGTTTTGTCCCATTATCATCTTCTTTTATCCTTATATTCGGTCATCCCAACAAACTAGGAGGGTTAAAAACTTATCTTAGCAGTGGGTACCAATGATCAAATCATTAAATTCTGTTTTTTTGATAGTGGATGGGAACAACCAAGTCAGGATGGTTAAAATATATTTTGACAGTGGATAAGGCCCACTAATAAGAATAAAGGAATTTGTTTTGTCCTACTTGTTTTAGTGGAGGATAAGACCCACCGAATATGAACTAGTCTAGGAATTCTTTATATATATTCAACTAGTCAAAAGTTCTCACATCAGATAGGATTATATTTAAGGGTGGATAAGATCCACCAAATGTAATCCTAACCTCATTGAGTTAAAACTTCCTTCCTTATCACAAAAAACCTCTTTCTTACGTGGCACATAGCCAAAGGGACTAGAAACTCTCTTAGAATCCTAATAGAACTCTAGAGAGAAGAAAATAAAAAAATATATATGTGTATACCTTAAAACAAGATAAGAGTCCCCAAGTCCTTTGACTCTTTAAGAGTTTTATAAAGAGTAGAGCAGGGAAAGAAAAAGAATAAGATGTGTGCACAGGACAGAAGGGAAGAAACAAAAGAGGATATGCATCACTCATACTACCTGCTTTTTCTCCTAATAGCAGAATTATCTGTATCTCCTTTCCTACTTTGTTCAACAGCTTCAATCCTCTCTCCCTCTATGCTCTCTCTTTTTCCTTTTTTTCTCCCAACCCCTATATAGACCAGGGTAGTTAAGAGAAGAGGAGTTAAATAACCTCCCCACTCTTCACACGTGGGATTGGTTATTTAACTCACTTCCATAACTACCCAATTTGAAATTTTAACTATTTCAAATTCAAATTAGGGAAGTCAGTTGAGCTAAACTTATTGGCCAGAAGTCAAGTCTGGCTCTCCCTTTTTTATTATTATATACATTTTTAAGATGGGGAAGCCCAAAGTTCACAGGACTCCCCAATATTTTAAATCTTAAACAATAACTTAGGCTAAAAGAAAAATTTTATAGAATAATTAAAGGCCAGGAAAGTTATGTAGAGCATTATTCTCTTTTATTTTAAAACTGGGGGCATTTCTATAATCATACATTATTTTTATATAAAGTACATAAATTATGGCCAACTTGCAAATTTGACGAGTATATGACAAAATTCAATAAACTAATTCTCCTAATTTCAATAAGCTTGGCCACTGCTTATATTGTACATGATATAAGGCATACAAGATGGAGTGATGGATGCAATATCTTTCCGTGGTGATAGAAAAGAGCCTCTAGCATTAAGACCAATGTCCCACCCATTGGAAGCATTAAAAAAAAAAAGGTCTTACCACATTTTCTTCTGTTGCAAACCAGCCTGAGCAGCATACCGCCACCACACATGAGGGTTGTCGGAAACTGGCACAATGGGTCTTAAGTGGGATACATCGACACGTGTTCTATATCGGGAAAACACTTCCATGAGTTTAATAACATCATGGTACTGAGCCTGAAAAATAATAAGTAGGATAGGAAGGTGAATTTCCATGGGAAGGATTAGAAAATAATTAAACCACAAACAAAAAAAAAAAATCTAGAATATATACAAGACAAAAAACATAACCTCCGTAATTGTTAAAGAAACATCACTAAGGACAAGAGATGCCTTCTCAAAAGGAATCTCCAGGTCCTTTCTTTCTTGATTTCCCAAGCGATGGTATTTAAGTATTCCATTGATAGGTGAGACTAAGTATTTGTGATTCATAGACCATGGAGACACAACAGAACGACCAGGCAGAGGTTCATTTATGCCATCTTCAAATATCTACAAAAAAACAACAGAAATAATCTCATAATGCTTTTGAAATAATATAATATACCTTTGCCAACACTTACATAATAGAAGACTATCATAGGATATTAAAATCCCAAACAAGGACAAACCTCAACCCATTCCTTGGGACTAAGATCTACCCATTTCTTATCCATCTTCCAAGGAAGGCTGTCAGAGTCATGATAAACCGCTAGCCTCTCAAGTTGCACTGACTAAAACAAGGGAAAAAATTGCATAGTTTAGTTGAAGAATTTGGGAGAAGAATCTATTTGACTGAATAGAAAAAATGCAGCAAAACATAAATCAATAATTCCAATGGATCATAAAATAATACAATGACGAACCAAGAAAAATCATAAAATGTTCCAGTGTTTTGGCCTCATAGGAATTAATTTTTCTCATCTTAAGTCAAAATTACTATCCTTTGAATGGCATAATATACATTTTCTAAGACCTTACAGAAAACCTATAAGATATAATCATACTCATGAAGAAATGGTAATAATATGCCAGTAATAGAATCACTGAAAGCTCTTCAAGTTCACCAGTAAATAAAAAAAAAAAAAAATCCAAGGTTTTCTTATTATAAAGTTTCACCGATAAGTTTATTGAACATAAAGCATTTGTTAACATTCAGAATCCCTCCTCTTCAGACAGTACACAGTAACAATGCCATCAAAAGTTAATTGCCATGTTAACGCCTATATGTTTGGAATAAATTGAGTTGCCCAGCCCCCCACCCCCAACATGAGAGCTGAGAATGCTCCACCTGGTTCCATACTACACACTTGCTAGAAGAACCATCATGAACATTACATTAAAAAACTATTTCTACCCGCTTGCACTGGTGTGTCTAAGGCCATAATGCAGGAAATACTAGCACCTTAGCCCCTAACAAAGTTGGGTATAAGTTCATAAACCAATCCCTAAGTAAGACACCAATCAAAACTTTAATTGGAATTCTAAATCTGTCAACAATTCAACCCAAGGCTTAGTCCAAATTCAAGCCCATACTTAAGCCTATAAGCAAGTCTGAACCCATTAATATAACTAGGCCCAAGTCCATGTCCATATCCAATTCCATGATCTGCATGCCCGTATCCTTGACCCATCTCTTGAAGTTGCAGAAAAATCCGATTGCCTTGGAAGCTACATTTCTCAAAGTTCATGATAAAATTTAGATCTGCACTAGTATTAAATTAAGAATAGCGGCAGAAAGAAATTGAAGAAAAGAGAAGAGAAAAGAAGAAGAGAAGATAATAGAGGAGAAGAAAAGACTGGTTTGAACAGGAGAGAAATCTATCTCTAGTTGGCCAAGTTGATATTTATAATTTTCCAAAATAGAACACAATGACTGCTATGCCCCCTACTTAAGTATGGGACACATCACTCAAGTCAAACATTACACCTCACTCCTAATATAAAATAAAAGGACCAAACTGCCACTATACAGCTGACACTAACATTCCCCCTCAAGCAGGTGAGTATATATTATATGGTCCGAGCTTGTTACATATGTAGTCTACTCTTCCCCGACTTAACCCTTTGGTGAACAAGTCTGCCCATTGACTTCCAATGTTGACATATGCAATACTTATCACTCCATTCAGTACATTTTCTCTCACAAAGTGACAATCAACTTCTATATGTTTTGTTCTCTCATGAAAAAACAGGATTGTAAGAGATGTGGACTGCAGCTTGATTGTCACAATAAAGCTGCATAGGGGTATCAATCAAGTACCCCATCTCCTGTAAGAGGTTCCTCAACCACACTAATTCACAAGTTGTATATGTCATGGCTCTATATTCAGCTTCTACACTACCACTTATTCTTCCACGTCACCAAATTACCCCCCAAGAAAGGTACAATAACCTGTAGTGGACCTTCTGTAAGATACAAAACCAGCCCAATCAGCATCATTGTATCCCTCTCCCTCAATCTCAAGGCTTCCTCCACTTTTGAGACATGGTAACTGTAAATCAAATTTAACAAAACAAGAGGATCAGATCATTCTGGAAACCAATATGCCAATTACTGTCAAAATAGTACCAGAAAAGGTCAAACTTTAACTAAAGACAAGATGCAATTGACCTTCCTCAATTTATCTAGTGCACCACTTGTGTCAAAAGTTTCGTTGCATAAGATGAAATTGACCTTCCTCAATTTCAACAAAGTTAAGCATAAGAAAACCAAGCCGAGGAGGAAAACAAGGTGACAAGTAAACAGAATAAGAGAAACTAGATATAATAAATATTAAAACAACATTCAGATCAGAGAAATGTATCCACTTTTGAGACATGGTAACTGTAAATCAAATTTAACAAAACAAGAGGATCAGATCATTCTGGAAACCAATATGCCAATTACTGTCAAAATAGTACCAGAAAAGGTCAAACTTTAACTAAAGATAAGATGCAATTGACCTTCCTCAATTTATCTAGTGCACCACTTGTGTCAAAAGTTTCGTTGCCATGGTCATCAGTTGTAACAGCAGCAAGTTTTGCTAAAGTAACTCCAGAAGAAAAGGGATGCCCAGGATTACTGTAAACCATACAATCACCCTCAAAAGTTAATCAGAAGGTAGAGCAAAACAAAAGATGAAGCATGAGAACAAGTCAATGCATCACAGAAGCAGAAAACAACAGAAGAAAATTAATTTACACCATGCAAACAAGCTAGTAACCTGATAGAATCCTCATATCTGATATGGACATTGCTAATGGAGATTTTGAGATTTCCAATTATAGTAGCTATAAGAGAACCCAGCCATGAATTCCCACCTGCTGACTGTACAACAAACAAACAATCAATATAAAAGAACATGTTACTAATTCCTTCAACATAACCACAATTGAAAATGACCAATAAGTATCTTTTTTTTTAAATAAATATTAAGAAAATTCATAAAATAAAAAACATATTACAAGATGAGTAATGAGGAATCAACCAAAAACAACAAAGAGTACAGACAAAAACCATTACAATTGTATATCCAAGATACATCTATTATAAGTTGAAAGCAGTGTTTTAAAAGGCGTGGGAGGCGTACAGCTGGGGGCACGCCTCCAAGCGAGGCACCCCCAAAACGCCCTGAGGCGTATGCCAAAGGTGCTGACATCTCTGAGGCATACGCCTCAGGTGCAAGAGGCATAGGCCTCATATGCTTTTTTTCGTGAGGCATTGCTTATCATGCACCTCATGTAAAAAGACAAAAAAAAAGAAAAAAAAAAAAAAAAACAAAACAAAACAAAAAGAAAAAAAAAGTAAAAGGAAGGTGATAAGAAATCACCCGAAAAGAAAAGCCAACCCAAACTCAACCCCAATGAAACAGAATCAAACCCAAATCAACCAAAACCAGAAACAAACTAAAAAGACCCTTCTAACAAAAGTCTCTTACCCATAACAATACAACACAAGACAAGAGACAAAAGAAAACCAGAATATCAAACCAGTCTGATGCCCAAAAAAGCCCAAGCCAGACACCCAAACCCCAACAAGCACCTTTAATCATCTTTCTCAGTTTTTTGAGTACAAATTTGTTGCCGTTTCTTGACTATTCCTTTGGAATTTTTGACAAGTTTGTTAAGTCCCATTCCGAAAAGACCACCTTTTAACCTCGTGAAGAATTCAAGATTGGGATCTGCTGTTGTAATTTTTTGCGCTTTTGAGTTCATCTTCTGACTGCATTTAGCCTCCCACCACTGTTTCAGAATTCCCCACTAATTTCCGACCCCTGTCTTCGGCCATCACCCCTTTGACCTCTTCTTCTGGCTCCTCTATGAAGTCCCCGCAACCTCTGGCACTTGCTTCCACCTCTTGCCTTGTTGAATTATCACAGTTAAGATTAACCACTGTATCTATCAGACCTTTCTTCCTAAATGCTTCCTCCACATATCTAATGGCTTCTTTTGCAAATTCCTCCTCTCCTAGAAAAAACAGACCCAAAATTTTGCTTTCACTCCCCTATTCACCACTTCCTCAATGTAATCAAACTTTCCTACAATATGGGTCTCATCAATCATCGGTTCAGACTCATTTTCCTCCCCTGAATCCACTTCCATCCCCTCTTCTCCATTCTCCTCTAGTGAGAAAGTTCTGTACTTTTTCCTTTTATATGTCCTAACCCCCACCCCCATTCTTATCTTCTTCACCTTCACCTCCCTCACCCTCAATCCCCAAGTCCTTCTTTCCTCCTTCCTCCTCTTCCACACATCTGTCCCCTACTCCACCTCTATTTCCCCACTTCTCTTCCAAAACTCCTTTTTCCTTTGCCCCTTCAGTCCCGGTTCCCTCATCTCCCTTTCTGTTCTCCCCCTCTTCAGTGGCTCTGCTTTAATTACTTCCCAGCAAGGTAAGAATGACCTCTTCCTCATTCTTTTCTTCCACAACCGATTCTTACTGTCCCCCATCCACTCCCTCTATCCTTCCTAGACCTTTTTTCAAACCCTCCTTGGCGACCTAAAGGTCTTCCACATCATCCTCTTTTTCCTGTTGAACAAATCTAATCTCAGATTCCATCTGCACATCTTTCTTTTCTTCTGCCAGCCCTTCTTCCTCTCCTTCTATCTTCTCTAAGATTGCTTAAATATTCTTCTTTTTGACAGAATATATTGTCATTCTCCATACAAAGCCTTCGACATCACCAGTTTCCTCTTCTGTAACTTCCTTCTCTATCAGAACATCTTCTGTAACTTCCAATTTCAGTGGGTGAAAAGAACAGTGAATGCCTTTGCAGATGCTTTGGCAAAACAGGGTGTGGGAAGGGATCAATTTGTACTGGGCTATATTGTGAGCTTGATGTTGCTTTCTAGGGGAGGATTAAGCCTTTTTAACTCTCTGCTTGCTACAATGTTGCATTATATTAATCTAATGAAATTCTGTTATTGATCATAAAAAAGGGGTGTGTGATTCAACAAAATAGAATGAAATGACAAAAGTTCCCTTGTGGCACATGAAGTAATAAAAACTGCAGGAATACAACAGAGTTGATAGGAAAATTCTTGTTTCTATTTTTTTTTTTTTAATCAATAACACTTTCATTAATTCATCAGTAGAAAATTTACAAGTGGAAGACAAACACACTTATCTTCCAAGAGTCACAAAAAACTTCAAGAAAGGAAAGAAGAAAATACAAAGATACAAGGACACTAACATTACAACTTAGCCCAAAACAAGGAATCCCTTTCTGCCCATTGTTTTCCTAAACTGTCAGCT